GGGGTGGAGCAGGGGAGGGGGGCCGGGCGGGGGGAGGCGGAGAGGAAGAGCCGCGGCCCAGGGCTGCAGCGTCGTAGGTGAGGCGCGCCTGGCAGCGCCCAGGAGCGTTCCCAGGAGAGAAAGAGGGCAGGAAAACGGGCGCAGGCGGCGGCCGCGGCGCTGGGGGCCACGCGCGCCACCGGCCTGCCCGGTGCTCGGGAGAGTCCGGCGCACGCTCCACAGGTGGCCCCGGGGGTTACCGGTGTTTTGCGCTACGGACGCCACCCCCCGCCCGCTGCCAGTAGAAACTGGGGTAGATGACTAATTCAGGCGGGGGCAGGGCGCAGGCGGGCGTGCGGTGCGCCGCCAGGAAGGTTCCCTGCTCGCTACGCCTCCGATCTCGCCCTAGATCCCAGGGCGGCGCGTGAGATGGGGTTCCAGTGCACCTGTCTCTCTCCGCGTCTCCACGTTTAGGGGACCACAAGGGAGCGTGGAGAATAGAAAGGGGTCCGGCTGGACGGGTCGCGCCGGCGAGCACGTTCTTTTGGGGGATGCTCAAAGAGTTTGCGCAAAGTTGAGCTTCTCGCTCCGTCTTCTTCCCGAAGCCACTTTTCGCCGCTTGGGCTACGGGTTGGGGTGCCTAACGGGGGCGGTAAGTGGCGAGTGATGAGGCAGAAGGCCTAGAACTGGTCGAAACCAACGCCTCCCGAACTTGGCTCTGCTAGGCCGCGGGCACGGCAAGGCCAGCTAGGCTCCAGACACTGCTCTCCCCTGAGCCCCGGGCCCGACCCCGGCCAAGGGAGCCTGCATCCAGCGCTCTCTCCTTTTACGTTCCAGACATTTCCCCTAAGGGAACCAGGGCGGCTCTGGCCAGGTTGGTGAGCATAGCAGCCTCTCCCCTGTCGCCGATTTCATAATGGGAACCGCGGGGCCTTCTTTTCGCCCTAGCCAAGCGGAGTCCTGGTTAGGGCGTGAGTCTATGTGCCTAAAAGCCCGCGGGCCGATTTGAACCAAACCCCCGATCCTCTCAAAGAAAATTTGAGGCCTTGCTCTTTCCGGGGTGAGTTCTTTGGCTTGTTTCAGATTTCGGCCATCAGAAGTAAAGTTCAGAGAAGTCCCGTCTTCCCTACATTCTCTGGAGTTGGGGAAAGGAAGTCATCTTGCAGTATTTATTTCTTTCATTGCACTTATTCTTTTAATCAGCCGTGAGCTCTTTTAGACCTATCCTCCCAATTAAACCTAAATAAATGCAATTTCATCTCCAGAGTTAGACTTTGTGATTTAAGGGTGCAAATCCCACACCAAACTCAAATCTGGGGCATCCACACCTTTCCCTCCCTTGCCCCGGTGGATCTCAGGGCCCTTCTTCATTCTCTTCTCTGCAGGGGAAGACTGGGGGACTCCTTGACGGAGGTCTTTTGGTTTTCCCCTCAAGCCGGGCGAACTTGGCTGCAGAATTCCTCAGCGTGAGAAAACGCCCGCAGCGCAGGCTCGGCCAGGGTCTGGGCCTCCAGTGGGTTCGACTGAGGTTCGGAAGCAGCAAGATTCCAGCCTGAAGGGGACAGGAGTGAAGCCTGGGCCTGGCTCCCGTGGGTTCACAGTTTGGCTAGCGGTGGGAAGCCGGGATCTTGGGTGGGGCACGCGGATTTGGGGCCTGGAGAGGCCGGCTCCTCCGGCTTTGGCCTGTTGGGCTCCTGGGCCCACTGGGTGGCAACAGCTGGTGAAAATGGAGTCCTTCTCCTTCCCTCGTTGTCTCTTTGTCTCTCTCGGTGTCTCTGTCTCTCACACAGATACTCGCTCTTCTCCCAACGCCCTCTCCACGCCCCCCTATCAGGCCTGGACCCCCGACTCCTGCCCCCAGGCCTGGCGCTGCTGTCCTGGGGTCCCGGCGAGGCCGGAGCATTGACATGCAATGAAGCGACTTGTCGTGGTAATGACGCTCACACACTACCGCGGCTCCGCTGGCTCCAGGGGCGACCGGGGCACTCGCTCGGGCCTTTCTTCAGCGCTCCTAACGCGGGCGGCGGCGCGGAGCCCGCAGGCCTCAATCTGCACCTCAAAGGCGCCCTCGGCGGGGAAACAACAACAGTTTAGCAGCCCCGGCGGGTGTGGAGCCGGAGATCTGCGGGGCTCGGGTCAACAAGGGGGGAGGGTGCAGAGGATTAAGGCCCTGCAATGCCTTCCCCAGCGCACGGATAGAAAGAAAGCGAAACCTAGATTTCCCCCAAGCACACCGTGGCGACGTTTTGGGGGTGCAAGATCCCCTGCTCCCGGGCCTAGGCTTTGGCCTACAGATCGCGCTCTGGGGCTGCGGCCGCGGCTGGGAGGGTGTCGGTCCCCCGGGCGGCCCACCCCCCGACTTCCAGCCGCCACGTTGGGCGGCGGCCCCAGGCCAGCCCGCAGGGTGCGTGGCGCTCGCGCTGGAAGTTGACCATTTTTGCGGAAGGATAGCGGCGCCGAGCCTGGAGCCGGGTTCAGCCAAGGGCCTGCGCCGTCGTGCGCAGGCGGGGACCGAGCGTGCAGGGGAGCGCCCAGGGCGTCGGAGGGAGCCCCTCCGGCTCTGCACCCCGCT